CACACACTATAAACAATTACATTACACACACACACTATAAACAATTACATTACACACACACACACACACACACTATAAACAATTACATTACACACACACTATAAACAATTACATTACACACACCCTGCACCAATAATGGGTACAGGGTGACTAAAACAAAAGATAAATAAAGCAGCCTACATAAATAGTCTGTCTGAAGGTAGACTAGAGGCTTTAAAGTCAAATACATGAAAGAGTCATAGTCACAGGGGAGGAGGCTGGCAAGCAGGCCTCTCCAGGACCAAGTGGCAAAGGCCACTTCGTCACAAAATAAATATATATATATATATATATATATATATATATATATATATATATATATATATATATATATATATATATATATATATATATATATATATATTCCAAAAAGAAAGCCAGCACTCAAGGACTTCAATGTGAAAAAATAGGCATTTAATCCAAGTGGTCAACGTTTCAGTTCACAACTGTGAACTGAAACGTTGACCACTTGGATTAAATGCCTATTTTTTCACATTGAAGTCCTTGAGTGCTGGCTTTCTTTTTGGAGACTGTATTTGTGTGCAGCTGAGCACCGGGCCAAGATTTGTAGGAGAGCTGGAGTGATGTATGTGTGTGTGTGTGTTCATTACTCATGTTTTCCTCTCTTGATTTTACAACTTCGATAAGTTTATGCTTTTTCTCTTCAATTTACTTTTTAATTATTTAAAACTCAAACCATTCTTGTGTACTGGTAATTAAGTGATGTGTAATTTAGGTATAATTTTTTGTGGTTTCATGAAACAAGATCATATAGTAACATACAGTTAAATAATTTAATTTTTTTTAAGTAAACTATATATAAACTATATAAACAATACTGGCATTGTGATCCCAAGTATCTTCTTTAAATTGTATGTTCATCATTAAATACCCAATGTATTTCTTTTACCATTTGTATTTTTATTTTATAATCCATTTAGGTAGTGCTTTTCAAAAATGTCTTGAAGAAATATTTAGTGTCCTGGTTAAATACAATTGTCGCATTTGCATGCCGTAATAGAATATATTTAATTTGTCAGCATTAAGAAAGCAATTACTCTTTCCATACATTTTGGTTGTGTTTTAAAACTGGTATTATTTAGTGAAGTAGTGCTGTTTGGCTCTTTTAAGCATCTTCAGTTACGCTTATTTTGAATAGCGTTTTAATCATGTATGCAGAAGTTAAAAGGGAAACAGTAGGCACTATAACAATTTCATCAATTTAATTAGTTATAGCACCTGGAAACTTCTGGCACTGTCTTTCCATTAAGTGTTAAGCAATGTTCGAACTGTTTAGCACCAAGTAAGGGTAATTGGCCACCCACAGCCTGGCACCTATTGGAGGTATAGCTGATGCAAACATTACACACTTCTACTAGTCATAGCAATTCATACCAGGTGTTTTGATAGGCTGAAAGCTGTCCAATTACACACGCAGCTTCCTCATTAGCCCAAGCAGCGCAAAAGGGATGGGTTGCTGAGGACTCTCGTTTTAGCAAGAATACATTAAAAGCTGTTTAACACTATGAAAAAGACTGCTGGAGGTCATTTTGCAGGGCTCTGGCAGTGCTCCTCCTGTTCCTCCTTGCACAAAGGCGGAGGTAGCAGTCCTGCTGCTGGGTTGTTACCCTCCTACGGCCTCCTCCATGTCTCCTGATGTACTGGCCTGTCTCCTGGTAGCGCCTCCATGCTTTGGACACTACGCTGACAGACACAGCAAACCTTCTTGCCAAAGCTCGCATTGATGTGCCATCCTGGATGAGCTGCACTACCTGAGCCACTTGTGTGGTTTGTAGACTCAGTCTCATGCTACCACTAGAGTGAAAGCACCGCCAGCATTCAAAAGTGACCAAAACATCAGCCAGTGGTCTGTGGTCACCACCTGCGTCTTGCTAATTGCCTATAATTTCCACCTATTGTCTATCCCATTTGGACAACAGCATTTGAAATTTATTGTCACTCAGTGTTGCTTTCCTAAGTGGACAATTTGATTTCACAGAAATGTGATTGACCTGGAGTTTAAGCAACATTTCATCGATGATTCCAAATAATTGATAGCATGCTCTGTAGCATACTGAAATATTAAAGGATCACTATAGGGTCAGGAACACAAACATGTATTCCTGACCCTATAGTGTTAAAACCATCTTCTAGCCTTCTTGGGCCCATTATGCCTCCATAAATATAGCAAAATCTTACTGTATTCAAGCCAGAAGCTGTAAATCTGCATGCTGTTTGCCTAAAAAAAAAAAAAAAAAGCGGTCTGCTGACATCTGATCCAATCACAATGCTTCCCCATAGGATTGGCTGAGACTAACAAAGAGGCAGATCAGGGACCAAGCCAGCATGATTCAAACACAGCTCTGGCCAATCAGCATCTCCTCATAGAGATGAATTGAATCAATGAATCTCTATGAGGAAAGTTCAGTGTCTGCATGCAGAGGGTGGAAATAATGAATGTTTGGATGCATTTTAGGCAGCCATGACCCAGGAAGGATCTCTAACGGATATCTGAGGAGTGGCCAGTGAAGTTATCACTAGGCTGTAATGTAAACACTGCATTTTCTCTGAAAAGACAGTGTTTACAGCAAAAAGCTTGAAGGTAATGATTCTACACACCAGAACAAATTCAATAAGTTGTAGTTGTTCTGGCGACTATAGTGTCCCTTTAAATCTTTTTAGCACCAGTATACATGTATTGTAAACTGAAGGTTACCAATTATACTATCCTTCAGCCTCCAATTATGTACTTTTCTAAAACACACACACGCTCCCTATATTTATTCAGTGGGTATTGGCCTTTTTAGTCATATTTTTGTACAAAGGTGACTTATTTTTGTTGTGTGTGTGTTCTCATTCACATATCTGTTTAGTCAGAAATGTTGACAGAGTGGAGCAAATAGGGACATTAGCAGGCTGCTCCAAGTGTGGCAAGAAATGAGCTCAGAGCTAAATATATAGGTTTGTGACATTCTAGCAGCTGCCATAAGCCCTGCTGTTTGTTGCTGGGGTACACTGCCCTAAAAAAGGAAGAGAACGCATTGTAGCTCAGGGGAAGAAGTGAGCAGCTGGTGGGCTTATCAGTGGGCCTGCTGACAGCTAAGGTCAGATGTAGAGAAGGACACCAGTAAGCTCAGAAAGACAATGTGTTCCGTCCAGTGTTATCAAGGCTGTGTGTAGAATTATTGCAAACGGTCTTATCACTTGAACTTGTCTGCAGTAAGCAAAACAAATTATAAAATAACTGTGCACAGATATATTTTAAATGTATTTATTTATTCATGTGTGTCTATATTTGTGTGTGTCCTATATTTTCTCTAGCATTTACTTTACCATGGTAAATAAAGCAGTCTATTTTTTTTTTTTTTGTATAAACACTTAACTCCTTTACATGACTGTTCTCTTCCTATTATAGAAGCTTGATGTAATAAAAGCTGAAAATGAAGGTTGGAGGGGTTAGTCACTATTGTAGGAGTCCATAATGCGTATTTTTTTAATTTATTTTTTACGCTGATTGGGAAGGTCAAGTGCGTTGGCAGTTTGCAGTTGAATACAGTAAGGCAAAAACAATTCCATAAGTGACACAACACTCTTTGACATTCTCTTTTCAAACAGTGCAATTTCATTAACAGAAAGCCTGCTATGTTTATCTTTTATTTTATTCTACTCATCTTTGTAAAGATAAATACAGAATATCAAATAGCCCAGAATAGTGCAGCAAATAACCGTGCTAAAATCCCAAAGGAATTCAAAAATAATATTCGTTCATATTGCACCCCAGTTCAAAGTTCACCTCAGACTGTTCAAAAGGCTCAGAATGATTGTTTTATCCGCACAAGACTAATCTAGCCATAACAGATTAGTTTCTGTGATCTTGATAACATGCAGATTCCGAGAAACAGGTGCACAGAGGCTTTGGAACCAAAAATAAAAATGCATTTAAAAATAATGCAGCTGGGATTAGTTAGAACATTGTAAATCCCTTTAAATCTACATTATTCACATCTAACAGAAGCCCTGGAACCGTTTTAGACAATGTTCAATGCAGATTAAGATTTGTGATCACTGTGCAAATGCAATGGATCCAAATGTATGAGCTGGGTTCATTTCTGCCGCTGAATTTGTCAGGTAGTTTCGCATCTGCTAGGAACGCACACACATTTACCAGGACATTGTCATTTTTAAAGTACCTTAAACAGGAGATCTACAGACCTTGTATTCCCACAAAGTACACTGAACAGTTGCCTGTGCTTTTTATGTCAATGCGTTCTCTCCAACTGAAGTCTGTGTTTGAAGTCTCTTTAATGTCGATCCTCCGTGACATAAAAGGCATAGGGAATATACCTGTTTTTTTTGTTAACCAACATGGCATTCAAAGGTATAGTGGACTGATTAACAGCCCACATGATTTTACAGTAATTGTTTCCTGCTGTAATGCTATTTTTTTGATTCATATTTAAACACAATTGGGCACTTAATGTTTTATATATATTTCTAGCATTGCATTTTTTTCTTCTGAATTTCATTGCAAAATCATATTTGCAGTCAATATTACTAAGAATCAGAAGCAACAGTGAAGGTGTAAACATCTATTGTTCGATTTCTGCTGTGTGGGTCAGCTGTGAATCGCAAGAGCCTGTGTAATGTTGGGGCTTTGACATGGCTTTGTGAGTGACTAGGAATTGAAAGCTACATCTGTGTGTTCACCTCAGCTTGATTGATTCTGATCAGTGTTGATTTACGTGCTGGCTCTTCACTCTTCAGCAATCAGACAGTTCCTGTCTGAGCCACACAGGGAATAACCATGCTGTGTTTTTTTTTGGTTTTTTTCTTCCCTTTTTTTTTTTTTTTCTCGGTCTTCAGCACTGCCCTTTGGATATTTACTGGAGCATAACTGAATTGCTGAAAATGTTTGAGACCATGTTTTTGTGACTCTTTGGTAATAGGAGCTGTTCTTATTTCTACTGTGGATGCATGTGGCAACACAAGAACCGTGTATTAAGGACACCGCTTTTGTTAAAAACTTTAAAAAAATAATTGGTATGTGTCATTTTGTCCTATTGTGGAACAAAGATGTGCATTGCATGATTTCAAACAGCCCATTATAGTCTAGGGTTGAATACTTTCTCTCCCTTTTCTTTTTCATTTTATAAAAAACTGCACAGAAACATTACAGAATAATAACATATAAGAAAGACAAGGTCACCTTCATATTACATGTAGAAATTCCACAATACCTAGTTGATGGCTGGATTGTGGAAACAAATGACTTATATCTTTAGGGTATGCCTATTGCTCAGTGATAATGGGTATACAGCTCTCTGTATTTGCAATATAGTGTATAGATATTTTTATTGTGCCTTTGTCTCTAGGCTTGTATATATGTGTTGGCTTTTGTGTCAGATCATGAGCTTTTTTTTTTTGCAAGTTGGATCTGTGATATTGGATATTAGTGATATTTGACTATATACTGTCTGCTGATA